TAAGAGTGTGTGTGTGTGTGTTCCTCAGAGTCGGAGGCGCAGGCGTTTAGTAAGAGTGTGTGTGTGTGTTCCTCAGAGTCGGAGGCGCAGACGTTCAGTAAGAGTGTGTGTGTGTGTTCCTCAGAGTCGGAGGCGCAGGCGTTCAGTAAGAGTGTGTGTGTGTGTTCCTCAGAGTCGGAGGCGCAGGCGTTCAGTAAGAGTGTGTGTGTGTGTGTTCCTCAGAGTCGGAGGCGCAGGCGTTTAGTAAGAGTGTGTGTGTGTGTGTTCCTCAGAGTCGGAGGCGCAGACGTTCAGTAAGAGTGTGTGTGTGTTCCTCAGAGTCGGAGGCGCAGACGTTCAGTAAGAGTGTGTGTGTGTGTGTGTGTTCCTCAGAGTCGGAGGCGCAGGCGTTTAGTAAGAGTGTGTGTGTGTGTTCCTCAGAGTCGGAGGCGCAGGCGTTCAGTAAGAGTGTGTGTGTGTGTGTTCCTCAGAGTCGGAGGCGCAGGCGTTCAGTAAGAGTGTGTGTGTGTGTTCCTCAGAGTCGGAGGCGCAGGCGTTCAGTAAGAGTGTGTGTGTGTGTGTGTGTTCCTCAGAGTCGGAGGCGCAGGCGTTTAGTAAGAGTGTGTGTGTGTGTGTTCCTCAGAGTCGGAGGCGCAGGCGTTCAGTAAGAGTGTGTGTGTGTGTGTTCCTCAGAGTCGGAGGCGCAGGCGTTCAGTAAGAGTGTGTGTGTGTGTGTTCCTCAGAGTCGGAGGCGCAGCCGTTCAGTAAGAGTGTGTGTGTGTGTGTTCCTCAGAGTCGGAGGCGCAGGCGTTCAGTAAGAGTGTGTGTGTGTGTGTGTGTTCCTCAGAGTCGGAGGCGCAGGCGTTCAGTAAGAGTGTGTGTGTGTGTGTTCCTCAGAGTCGGAGGCGCAGGCGTTTAGTAAGAGTGTGTGTGTGTGTGTTCCTCAGAGTCGGAGGCGCAGACGTTCAGTAAGAGTGTGTGTGTGTTCCTCAGAGTCGGAGGCGCAGACGTTCAGTAAGAGTGTGTGTGTGTGTGTGTGTTCCTCAGAGTCGGAGGCGCAGGCGTTCAGTAAGAGTGTGTGTGTTCCTCAGAGTCGGAGGCGCAGGCGTTCAGTAAGAGTGTGTGTGTGTGTGTGTTCCTCAGAGTCGGAGGCGCAGGCGTTCAGTAAGAGTGTGTGTGTGTGTGTTCCTCAGAGTCGGAGGCGCAGGCGTTCAGTAAGAGTGTGTGTGTGTGTTCCTCAGAGTCGGAGGCGCAGGCGTTCAGTAAGAGTGTGTGTGTGTGTGTGTTCCTCAGAGTCGGAGGCGCAGGCGTTTAGTAAGAGTGTGTGTGTGTGTTCCTCAGAGTTGGAGGCGCAGGCGTTCAGTAAGAGTGTGTGTGTGTGTGTGTTCCTCAGAGTCGGAGGCGCAGGCGTTCAGTAAGAGTGTGTGTGTGTGTGTGTTCCTCAGAGTCGGAGGCGCAGGCGTTCAGTAAGAGTGTGTGTGTGTGTTCCTCAGAGTTGGAGGCGCAGGCGTTCAGTAAGAGTGTGTGTGTGTGTGTGTTCCTCAGAGTCGGAGGCGCAGGCGTTCAGTAAGAGTGTGTGTGTGTGTTCCTCAGAGTTGGAGGCGCAGGCGTTCAGTAAGAGTGTGTGTGTGTGTGTGTTCCTCAGAGTCGGAGGCGCAGGCGTTCAGTAAGAGTGTGTGTGTGTGTTCCTCAGAGTTGGAGGCGCAGGCGTTCAGTAAGAGTGTGTGTGTGTGTGTGTGTGTGTTCCTCAGAGTCGGAGGCGCAGGCGTTTAGTAAGAGTGTGTGTGTGTGTTCCTCAGAGTCGGAGGCGCAGGCGTTCAGTAAGAGTGTGTGTGTGTGTATGTTCCTCAGAGTCGGAGGCGCAGGCGTTTAGTAAGAGTGTGTGTGTGTGTTCCTCAGAGTCGGAGGCGCAGGCGTTCAGTAAGAGTGTGTGTGTGTGTGTTCCTGAGAGTCGGAGGCGCAGGCGTTTAGTAAGAGTGTGTGTGTGTGTGTTCCTCAGAGTCGGAGGCGCAGACGTTCAGTAAGAGTGTGTGTGTGTTCCTCAGAGTCGGAGGCGCAGACGTTCAGTAAGTGTGTGTGTGTGTGTTCCTCAGAGTCGGAGGCGCAGGCGTTCAGTAAGAGTGTGTGTGTTCCTCAGAGTCGGAGGCGCAGGCGTTCAGTAAGAGTGTGTGTGTGTGTGTGTTCCTCAGAGTCGGAGGCGCAGGCGTTCAGTAAGAGTGTGTGTGTGTGTTCCTCAGAGTCGGAGGCGCAGGCGTTCAGTAAGAGTGTGTGTGTGTGTGTGTTCCTCAGAGTCGGAGGCGCAGGCGTTCAGTAAGAGTGTGTGTGTGTGTGTGTTCCTCAGAGTCGGAGGCGCAGGCGTTTAGTAAGAGTGTGTGTGTGTGTGTTCCTCAGAGTTGGAGGCGCAGGCGTTCAGTAAGAGTGTGTGTGTGTGTGTGTTCCTCAGAGTCGGAGGCGCAGGCGTTCAGTAAGAGTGTGTGTGTGTGTTCCTCAGAGTTGGAGGCGCAGGCGTTCAGTAAGAGTGTGTGTGTGTGTGTTCCTCAGAGTCGGAGGCGCAGGCGTTCAGTAAGAGTGTGTGTGTGTGTTCCTCAGAGTCGGAGGCGCAGGCGTTCAGTAAGAGTGTGTGTGTGTGTGTTCCTCAGAGTTGGAGGCGCAGGCGTTCAGTAAGAGTGTGTGTGTGTGTGTTCCTCAGAGTCGGAGGCGCAGGCGTTCAGTAAGAGTGTGTGTGTGTGTTCCTCAGAGTTGGAGGCGCAGGCGTTCAGTAAGAGTGTGTGTGTGTGTGTGTTCCTCAGAGTCGGAGACGCAGGCGTTCAGTAAGAGTGTGTGTGTGTGTTCCTCAGAGTCGGAGGCGCAGGCGTTCAGTAAGAGTGTGTGTGTGTGTTCCTCAGAGTTGGAGGCGCAGGCGTTCAGTAAGAGTGTGTGTGTGTGTTCCTCAGAGTCGGAGGCGCAGGCGTTCAGTAAGAGTGTGTGTGTGTGTTCCTCAGAGTCGGAGGCGCAGGCGTTCAGTAAGAGTGTGTGTGTGTGTGTTCCTCAGAGTCGGAGGCGCAGGCGTTCAGTAAGAGTGTGTGTGTGTGTGTGTTCCTCAGAGTCGGAGGCGCAGGCGTTTAGTAAGAGTGTGTGTGTGTGTGTTCCTCAGAGTCGGAGGCGCAGACGTTCAGTAAGAGTGTGTGTGTGTTCCTCAGAGTCGGAGGCGCAGACGTTCAGTAAGTGTGTGTGTGTGTGTGTGTGTTCCTCAGAGTCGGAGGCGCAGGCGTTCAGTAAGAGTGTGTGTGTTCCTCAGAGTCGGAGGCGCAGGCGTTCAGTAAGAGTGTGTGTGTGTGTGTGTTCCTCAGAGTCGGAGGCGCAGGCGTTCAGTAAGAGTGTGTGTGTGTGTTCCTCAGAGTCGGAGGCGCAGGCGTTCAGTAAGAGTGTGTGTGTGTGTGTGTTCCTCAGAGTCGGAGGCGCAGGCGTTCAGTAAGAGTGTGTGTATGTGTGTGTTCCTCAGAGTCGGAGGCGCAGGCGTTTAGTAAGAGTGTGTGTGTGTGTGTTCCTCAGAGTCGGAGGCGCAGGCGTTCAGTAAGAGTGTGTGTGTTTGTTCCTCAGAGTTGGAGGCGCAGGCGTTCAGTAAGAGTGTGTGTGTGTGTGTTCCTCAGAGTCGGAGGCGCAGGCGTTCAGTAAGTGTGTGTGTGTGTGTGTTCCTCAGAGTCGGAGACGCAGGCGTTCAGTAAGAGTGTGTGTGTGTGTTCCTCAGAGTCGGAGGCGCAGGCGTTCAGTAAGAGTGTGTGTGTGTGTTCCTCAGAGTTGGAGGCGCAGGCGTTCAGTAAGAGTGTGTGTGTGTGTTCCTCAGAGTCGGAGGCGCAGGCGTTCAGTAAGAGTGTGTGTGTGTGTTCCTCAGAGTCGGAGGCGCAGGCGTTCAGTAAGAGTGTGTGTGTGTGTGTGTTCCTCAGAGTCGGAGGCGCAGGCGTTCAGTAAGAGTGTGTGTGTGTGTTCCTCAGAGTCGGAGGCGCAGGCGTTCAGTAAGAGTGTGTGTGTGTGTGTGTTCCTCAGAGTCGGAGGCGCAGGCGTTCAGTAAGAGTGTGTGTGTGTGTTCCTCAGAGTCGGAGGCGCAGGCGTTCAGTAAGAGTGTGTGTGTGTGTTCCTCAGAGTTGGAGGCGCAGGCGTTCAGTAAGAGTGTGTGTGTGTGTGTGTTCCTCAGAGTCGGAGACGCAGGCGTTCAGTAAGAGTGTGTGTGTGTGTTCCTCAGAGTCGGAGGCGCAGGCGTTCAGTAAGAGTGTGTGTGTGTGTTCCTCAGAGTTGGAGGCGCAGGCGTTCAGTAAGAGTGTGTGTGTGTGTGTGTTCCTCAGAGTCGGAGGCGCAGGCGTTCAGTAAGAGTGTGTGTGTGTGTTCCTCAGAGTTGGAGGCGCAGGCGTTCAGTAAGAGTGTGTGTGTGTGTGTTCCTCAGAGTCGGAGGCGCAGGCGTTCAGTAAGAGTGTGTGTGTGTGTGTGTTCCTCAGAGTCGGAGGCGCAGGCGTTCAGTAAGAGTGTGTGTGTGTGTTCCTCAGAGTCGGAGGCGCAGGCGTTCAGTAAGAGTGTGTGTGTGTGTGTGTTCCTCAGAGTCGGAGACGCAGGCGTTCAGTAAGAGTGTGTGTGTGTGTTCCTCAGAGTCGGAGGCGCAGGCGTTCAGTAAGAGTGTGTGTGTGTGTTCCTCAGAGTTGGAGGCGCAGGCGTTCAGTAAGAGTGTGTGTGTGTGTGTGTTCCTCAGAGTCGGAGACGCAGGCGTTCAGTAAGAGTGTGTGTGTGTGTTCCTCAGAGTCGGAGGCGCAGGCGTTCAGTAAGAGTGTGTGTGTGTGTGTGTTCCTCAGAGTCGGAGGCGCAGGCGTTCAGTAAGAGTGTGTGTGTGTGTTCCTCAGAGTCGGAGGCGCAGGCGTTCAGTAAGAGTGTGTGTGTGTGTGTGTTCCTCAGAGTCGGAGGCGCAGGCGTTCAGTAAGAGTGTGTGTGTGTGTGTGTTCCTCAGAGTCGGAGGCGCAGGCGTTCAGTAAGAGTGTGTGTGTGTGTGTGTTCCTCAGAGTCGGAGGCGCAGGCGTTCGGTGTGCCGCTGTCTCAGGTGATCTGTAACGACCGGCGTCAGAAGCAGCTTCAGGAGGAGCAGGAGGAGCTTCGGCTCCCGGCGGATCGAGTGTGTTCCCGCAGATCCACCAAACACGAGCTTTCCAGCAGCAACTCCTCGCTCAGCTCCTCCTCGGAGACGCCCAACGACCCCGCGACCCCCGGCACCCCGGAGACGGCCCTGCGCACACGCCGACGGGTACGCGTGTGTGTGTTTATCCTAAAATAACAGTTTTTAGCATGATTTAACATGTTGTCAGCATTATTTAACATATTTTTGCATTGTTTAGCACATTGGTAGCATTGTTATGTTGCTAACATTATTTAACATTGCTAACACGATTTAACATGTTGTTAGCATGATTTACCACATTGCTAGCATGAATTAACATGTTGTGAAAATGATTTAACACATTTCTAGCATGTTGTTAGCATTATTTAACATGTTGTTAGCATTATTTAGCATTTTGTTAGCATGATTAGCATTTTTCTAGCATGATTTAGCATGTTGATAGCACAATTTAACACATTGTTAGCCTGATTTAGCATGTTGATTGCATGATTTAACACGTTGTTAGCCAGACCGAGAGGGGCGTTGGCTGAAAGGACTGTTTTCCCCTGTAGGGCGGCATGTCTGTGGACTGCATCACTGACCTGGACGACAGTCACTCGCGTCTCCTGGAGGCGCTACAGCTATCGATGCCGCTGGAGTCGCCCAGCGAGAAGAAGAAGATGAGCGACGCTAAGCTAAGCCTGAACCCCATTTACAGGCAGGTGCCGCGCGTGCTGGACAGCTGCTGCCAACATCTGCAGAGATACGGTCAGTGACCCTCTTAGTTCATGTCTGTCATCTTTAAAGACCCACGCCGATGAAAATAATGTTTTTCTAGGTGTTAACATGTTCTTGTGGAATTTTTCTGATGTTAGAGGACATATCTTGAGAAAAATCAGCTCAAAGTTGTATTTCTGAGTATTTCTACATTCAAATGGCTGTGAATCAGTAGCAGACGCTAAAATGCCGGCTAAAATCGACTGGAGTTGTGACGTAGTAACTCCACTGGGCGTCTCCACACGCGACGTCTTGGAGTGAAATAATGATCGGTGATAACTTTGATTAACTTCGGATAATAATAATGAACGTGTATGTAATACTGTTGCCCCACCGGTATTGGGGGTGTAAGCTAGCGGGAGAGACAGAGCTCTCAGCAACGGGCAGGGGGAGGGGCGTCTCCGTGCCAACGGCTCCGCCCACAACGCAGAGGCGAATTGCTAATGAGCTACTGCCGCTCTGCTGAAGCGATGTCCCAGAAAACGGCACAGGTTTTGTGATTTTGGCTAAAAATGGCATAATCATAATTTAAAGACCACTGGGAATGTTTAAAAATAGCTCAAAATATGATCGGAGTGGGACTTTAAGTAAGGGAATAATGTACATCCAGCCGGTTGTTATCTCATAATAAACCCCTTCAGGTGTGTGTGTGTGTGTGTGTTGTTTTATCTCAGAATAAACCCGACAGGGTGATCAGGATCAGGTCTTTATCAGCCTGAAGGGGTTTATTCTAGTGCTGCCACTAACGACTAATTTTCTAACGACTAATCTAAACGACTAATTAAAAAAACAAAAAAAAACATTGTTTGTCATTTCGTTGTGTCCATTTTATTTTGAACTCAACTGAAGGGCCAAAATATAAAATGTCACCTGTTGAAAAACATTATGTATTAACAATCTAAGCATAAGTATCTGCATTTCCATTAGGCTATACCATATTAGTCAGAGTCCTAATCTAATCCTCTATTAAAAAACATGCATGTATTCATTACTTAAATTAGCCATTTGTTCTGCCTTAAATTAATACATTAGCTTACTGTACATTTTTATATGTAGCTACATTTCTGAAATGCATAACTGATAACATCACTCTGAATTGTAGGCTTAAGTAGATGCAATGCATGCATTTTAAGTAAAGCTGCTTTGAAACAATATGTATTGTGAAAAGCGCTATAGAAATAAATTGGAATTGAATTGAAAGAGTCTGGACTAGCCTGCTACGCTTAGCTCTGCCTTATAATGAATCGCGCTGAAGCAGGCAGGCACGCAGCTATGCCGCTCGCGTTTACACTTGCGTGCATGCCGGGCCCGTGCCGCGGTTCGCGTGAATGTGAAAGCAACACGGACTCGGGTGCGCGTTTTAGCTGATTATGTATTTAGTTAAATAAAACACATGTAAGGGATGATAGTGTTGATGATTTACCTTGGATACGAGCGAGAGTGAGTTTGCAGTGTATTCGCGCTTAGCGCGTGGAATCAGGGCAACACATTTGGAAAAGAGTCCGTTTGCAAGCAGCAGAAGGCCACCTATGCGACACACGCACCTGTGTTGTTCACTCAGCTGCGCATAATAGCACAGAATTTTTTTAATATATATATTGACCCGCGTTCTGTTTTCTATCATGCGCCGTGCACGTTTGCAATGGCATAAGATGCACGCAAACACACCAGGGTTCGGTAGAATTAAGTTGAGTGTGAAACCAGACCACCGCTGCGGGGGCGCCGGGAACAATCGTGCGCGGGCTCGGACCGCAGCAAACGAGCCCAGTGTGAAAGCACCGTCACCTGCCTCCGCAATTTTTCATATCAAAGCAGTGAAGGCGGGGGAGGGGGAAGGAAGAGGATAGCAGAGCAGGGCGCGCACGGCGCACAGACTGGTGTGTGGAGGTGAATTACAGTGAGCCGTTTGAGACGGGAGACCAAAAATAAATATGCGGTCAATAGTAAAACGACACGTCGACTAATCGCGGCAGCACTAGTTTATTCTGAGATAACAGCCGGCTGGATGTTCATTATCCGCTTATTACAGGAATACTTGCACATCAGTGAATAATTAGACATGAAATATTGATCTGAGTTTAAATATGTTATTATCTCTTTAAACGCAAAGCTGCGCGGAGAGAGCAGTTTCAGCGGCGAGATCAAACTAGACGGACGTTTAAGAGATACAGTCATAACACTTATTACTCAGCATTTCAACACATTAATAATTATGGGGATGAGAGATATTGATTTCAGATTAAACTGTTTTATAACCGTACCTGTTTGTATCTTATAATCCAACAGTGAACAAAACAATAGACACAGAATGGCCGCCGCTGCGTTTGTGTGAAACGAGAGAGAGCGAGTCCACGATACTGGATGGCATAATTAAATAACTCTACAGAATATATTGATTCGACTGAGTTTTAATATTTTATTAGCTCACCAAACGCAAAACTTCCATGAAGAAAACCCGTTCCTAGCGAGTGTGTAGCGCTGATGTCTTCAGTGACCGGATGAGCCTGTGTTTCTGCTGTTATCTGGGAATAATATACCGTGCGATTGACCAATCAGAATCAAGTATTCCACAGAGCCGTGTAATAAGCTTCGATATGTCCCGCCCCCAACTTCCTGTTTCAATTGTCAAAACAGGAAATAACGTTTTCGTTTCCATTTCATGGGGTCTTCAGAGTCTAGTGTGAGCGCTGAGTAACGCTGCTGTTCTCTGCTGTTCAGGTCTGCAGACGGTCGGGATCTTCCGGGTCGGAAGCTCCAAGAAAAGAGTTCGACAGGTGAGAAGCTGATGTTTATGTTTTAGAGACTGTATTTAAAACATTTTTTTAATGAAATCACAGTAAATGTAACAAAAATAAATTAATATAATGGAAATAATAGAAGAAAATTATTTTATTTTTAAAAAAATATTTATGGCATAGAAATTGTAAAAAAAAAATTGTACAAAATGTTTCATCATTTAGTCCTGGGATTTCCAAACTTTTTTTATCACTTTCAACCTAAAATATTCATTTAAAGATTTTAAGTGAATATTTTAATAGTTAAACAATACATTTGCATATTCACACTTCTCTGATGTCGGTCACATGACATGCAAACATAGGTAGTTGGTATTCAAACTTTAATGTGTTTTTTTTCTAATGCTTGAACTTACAAACAAATGAAAAATACTAATTTATTAAGCAGTATCACTTTCCCAATCTTGCTTGTTCGATATTGCTTCATATATAATATAATAAAACATGGCGAATATTATTTTTTTAATGTGCTTTAGTGAGTAATTTGATTCGTTTTTTATTTTAAATGTATTTATTTATTTTAAAGTCCCCCTGTAGTCAATAATTGTATCCCTTAAAACTCTCTTTGATCACCAAAATGACATATTTAAATGTTTTTTTCCTGGAAAAAAATCTTCATGCCTCAAAATAACTTAAATGTAACTCAACACCCTTGCTTCATTTAGTATACGCGGTTCTCTGAATATGTAAATAAGCCCCGCCTCCACTCACAGCAGCTCAGAGATCCACTCGTTGACCTGATTGGTTTAGGGGTGTCCCCGACTAAGGATTTTCATGGTCGAATCAGATTCGTCAAGTCCTGCCTATAGTCGACTAATAGTCGAATCATGTGTGTGGCGTCGGGGAGGGGGCGGGGCTTTAACATTTTAAAGCCGCGATGTACAGAACATCACACAAAGATATAGAAGAAAATGTATAAAAACATTTTGGATCAATAAAACTAAGAAATAACATAAATAACTGCAGAAAGGCCACACTGCAGATAGGATTTGCATTTCACATGCAAATCAAATTAAATCGGCTGAATTGCCTGTACGAGCATGCTCTAAAATAGTTAAATTAGATCACCCTGAGTGATCAATTAATAAAATAAAAATAAAGAAATTATTAAAATAACGAAAGTATGGCCAGGATTGTCAACTTTGTCTTTTTAACTGCAGAAACAACAATAAACGCTAAACTGGAGCGGCAGTCTTTTTAGCTAAACATGTTCACAGTATCCAAAAATCAAATTAGAACCGGCTGAAATGTTTTCAAAATCACTTGTACCCATACCTGATCGAAAAAAACAAAATCCAGTCTTTCAGCTGTGTGTCCGTTTGAGTCTTTTCAAATTGTGTGCGCGGATAAAATACATTCTAAAACGCTTAACGTGAAAAACGCTTAACGGCTTTGTCCTAAAACTGTTATATTAAAAGATCAAATTCTGTACACACCTTATTAATAAAGGATACTATATAGCCTACAGAAAAGCAGATGAGCCCAGAATATGAACGCAACGCGTTTTATTATAGGCTACGTTAAGCATTTTCCTCCCATAGAAAACCGTTAAAGAAAAAGCTTTACGTGACTTTCTATAGGAGAAACGCGTTGCGTTCATATTCTGGGTTCATCTGCTTATCTGCACATAGAATGGTTTCTTAAGGTGTGTAGCCTACTGTGTACATTAAGCACGTAAAAGTGCAATTTAAGCGTTTTAAAAGCTTTTTTCACGTTAAGCGTTTTAGAACGTCCCGAGGAAAACCAACCTCTTAACGTTGGCCGGCAGAAGTGCGATCATGGTTTTCCTGATGCTAAATCCAGCCTTGGAGAATATCCTTTCTGATGGTGTGCATCTTTAGATTTTCTTATCCCAGACATTTTTAAAGATTTAAATCCCTGCCGACAAGACGCTCCTCTGTCGGTCACGGATCGAAAGTGAAACTTAAATCTGTCACGGGGTGTTTGGAATTATTCACGCTGCACGCACGTTAAAAAAATATTTATTAAAAGCTTCTTTCTTTGCACATTTTTATTGACAGCATTATCATAATAGGCTGTATATTAACGTATTGACAGAAAACCAGTAGTTCTATGTGAAATCAGACATTGAGCACACTCATATAGCCAAAATGACATAATCCTCGTTTAATAACACATCTGCGAAGATTCGACCGTGAGATTGGTAGTCGAATCAGGCTCCTCCTATCGAAGCATCGAATCTTCGACTATTCGGAGTCACCCCTAGATTGGTTACAAGGTAGTTTGTGACGTGTATATATACAGTATATTGGACCAGCTGGAGTTTGTTTATTATGCGTGCAGGGCAACCACCCAGTAGAGCATTACAATAATCTAGCCTTGAGCTCATGAACACGTCAGAAACACCAGCGATTTCAAACCGTGTTTTTGAGTCTTTGGTTCACTGCAGTTTTAAGGAGAAAATACTCACCAATGCTGTAGACTTATGAACTTACACATGGCTTGTCTTAAAGCGTATTAAAAACACCACATAGACACATAAACAACATTAAATTCACCAGATGGGGACTTTGGGAAAGTTTGGGAAAGCCTGATACAGATAATGCTGCAAAACTTCAGTGAATCAGTGAAAATCAATCGTTCACGGTGAAACGGTTCCAGTGCGGATACTGGGGGAATATTGCACGGCTGAAAAAGGCTCTCAGCCAATCATATTCGAGAACCAGAAAGAACTGTTGTATAAAATTATAATAAAACATGGCAAATAAAAAATTATTTTTTTAGTATTTACAAGTATTTTGATTTGTTTTTTTATTTTACATATTTATTCATTTTAACTCTACATTTTTATGATTTAATTTATTCATAAACCCCTGTGGTTTCTACATGAACACAAGTTTGGGAATAACTGATACAGATAATGCTGCAAATCTTCAGTGAATTAGTGAAAATTAATCGTTCACCAATTTGAAGGATTTTTACAACTCTTACAATTACACCTAGCTTCAAAGATCATGTGGAAAGTCAAGTCAAGTCTCCATTTATATAACGCGTTTAACAATACAGAGTTTCACAGCAGCTTCACAGTGATAACAGGAGATTACAGTAACAGAGAGTGTTTAGGCTTTACAGCAGTAAAGTTATTGTCCAGATAAAGTTAGTTTTGTTTGATTCACTTCCGTTGTAAAGATCATTAGTGATTAACTATGGGGCCACTAACACGACAGCGCTCTAACAGAACACAGAAACTTTTCATGCGTTCTGGCCGTTCATTTGCACAACAACAGTGTTTGGTGGCTTGAGAATGCAAATTTAGGTATGCGCGTTTGAATATATATATTGGACCAGCTGTAGTTTGTTTATTATGTACGCAGGGCAACCACCCAGTAGAGCATTACAGTAATCTAGCCTTGAGCTCATGAACGCATGAACTAACTGTTGCACATTTGTCATTGATTGCATATGTCGTAATTTAGATATATATTTATTTAGATATATTGACAGTATGTGATGGCTAGTGCCAGTGTTGACTGTGTGTGTGTGTTGTGTTGTGTGTCATTCAGCTGCGTGAGGCGTTCGATCAGGGCACAGACGTGGCTTTAGACCAGAGGCACAGTGTTCATGATGTGGCGGCGCTGCTGAAAGAGTTCCTCCGAGACATGCCTGATCCTCTGCTGACCCGAGAGCTGTACTCCGCATTCATCGCCTGCGCATGTAAGGAACATCTCTATAGGGGCTTTCGCATCGGGTAGTTATAGGAACTCAGTTATAGGAACAAGCTGCCAGGGTGTTTCCCCGAGGACTGATGGTTCCCTTAGGAACATTTTCCTGGTTGCATTCGCACCGCTAGTAGGAACTCTGAAGTGACATAAGCCAAGCTTGTTGTTGAGACTTTTATTTTGAAGGCCGAGCGCACAGTGCTCGCATTCTCCGTGTTCATTAGTTTACGATCTGTCTTAGCGTTATTAGATACAACTGGTATACATAGAAAGTAGACAGTAATAAAGGTATTAGCGTATGGCGTGTGTTGATGTCCAGTGTTGCTGAGCAGAAATACATAATCGTGTTTCTCTTGGTCCCTCAAAGCTGTGTTGGATTTTCTCCTCAGCGTAAAGATTGAGAGCTTCATCTATCACTGTTTTCCATGTTCGTAGAGTTAGTTTCTGGATTAAATATATAGGATTTAATCTTTAAATGTTTTAATAATGGCGTGTGCGTGTGTTCGGCCAATCAGCGAACACTACCGTCACTGTAGTTCCTCTAGCGCTGGTTTACACCGACTCTGAAGGAGGAGTAAATTAGTTCCTCCAAAATGAGTTCCTTGAACTAAAATCGTTCCTAATTCCTGCGGTGCGAACAAACACGCCAAAATCCGGGAACTTCCGCCTATAGTTCTAGGAATTATAAAAAGGTTCCTCCGGTGCGAAAGCTCCTGATAATCCCAGACATTCCTCTCCTGTGCTTCGCTTTATCGTGTGTGTTTCTACAGCTCTGGAGAAGCCAGACCAGCTCTCGGCCGTTCAGCTTCTGATCTGTCTTCTGCCCGCCTGCAACAGCGACACACTCCAGCGTTTACTTCACTTCCTGTCTGATGTGGCCAATCACGCGGAGGATTCCTGGGACGCTGGCGGGAAAGAGGTCGGGCTTATAACTACACTGCAAAACATCATGTTGTTCCTCAGTGTTTCTGTCTCGTTTGTGGGCACTTCAAAATACTTTGACTACTTCATTATTGCAAATCATTTAACTGTTTAGAATGCATTTTTATTGCTTAAATATATTGCGTGAATACTGCTACAAAAGACTTCTTTTAAAAACATATTTACACCGCAAAAACGATGTTCTTGTTTTCTAGCACAAATTTCTAAACATTCTTAAATCAAGATAAATTTATTGGAGAAGCAGCAAAATTACTGAAGATATTAAGATTTGTTTACAGGAAAAAAAAGCTAAAAAAATAAGTGAGCTTGTGCTTAAAACAAGAACAAATATCTTGCAAATGGAGTGCAGTGATGATAGAAACCATGTTTCTGAATGATAGATCCTAGTGATGACATGTAGATGGAGAAGAGAAGCGGTCCCAGCACTGAGCCCTGAGGCACTCCAGTAGCTAGATGATAACAGTGATGGGATAAACCATGTTTCTGAATGACAGACACTAGTGATGACATGTAGATGGAGAAGAGAAGCGGTCCCAGCACTGAGCCCTGAGGCACTCCAGTAGCTAGATGATAACAGTGATGGGATAAACCATGTTTCTGAATGACAGATCCTAGTGATGACATGTAGATGGAGAAGAGAAGTGGTCCCAGCACTGAGCCCTGAGGCACTCCAGTAGCTAGATGATAACAGTGATGGGATAAACCATGTTTCTGAATGACAGATCCTAGTGATGACATGTAGATGGAGAAGAGAAGCGGTCCCAGCACTGAGCCCTGAGGCACTCCAGTAGCTAGATGATAACAGTGATGGGAGAAACCATGTTTCTGAATGACAGATCCTAGTGATGACATGTAGATGGAGAAGAGAAGCGGCCCCAGCACTGAGCCCTGAGGCACTCCAGTAGCTAGATGATAACAGTGATGGGATAAACCATGTTTCTGAATGACAGACACTAGTGATGACATGTAGATGGAGAAGAGAAGCGGTCCCAGCACTGAGCCCTGAGGCACTCCAGTAGCTAGATGATAACAGTGATGGGATAAACCATGTTTCTGAATGACAGACACTAGTGATGACATGTAGATGGAGAAGAGAAGCGGTCCCAGCACTGAGCCCTGAGGCACTCCAGTAGCTAGATGATAACAGTGATGGCATAAACCATGTTTCTGAATGACAGACACTAGTGATGACATGTAGATGGAGAAGAGAAGCGGTCCCAGCACTGAGCCCTGAGGCACTCCAGTAGCTAGATGATAACAGTGATGGGATAAACCATGTTTCTGAATGACAGACACTAGTGATGACATGTAGATGGAGAAGAGAAGCGGTCCCAGCACTGAGCCCTGAGGCACTCCAGTAGCTAGATGATAACAGTGATGGGATAAACCATGTTTCTGAGTGACAGACACTAGTGATGACATGTAGATGGAGAAGAGAAGCGGTCCCAGCACTGAGCCCTGAGGCACTCCAGTAGCTAGATGATAACAGTGATGGGATAAACCATGTTTCTGAATGACAGACACTAGTGATGACATGTAGATGGAGAAGAGAAGCGGTCCCAGCACTGAGCCCTGAGGCACTCCAGTAGCTAGATGATAACAGTGATGGGATAAACCATGTTTCTGAGTGACAGACACTAGTGATGACATGTAGATGGAGAAGAGAAGCGGTCCCAGCACTGAGCCCTGAGGCACTCCAGTAGCTAGATGATAACAGTGATGGGATAAACCATGTTTCTGAATGACAGACACTAGTGATGACATGTAGATGGAGAAGAGAAGCGGTCCCAGCACTGAGCCCTGAGGCACTCCAGTAGCTAGATGATAACAGTGATGGGATAAACCATGTTTCTGAGTGACAGATCCTAGTGATGCCATGTAGATGGAGAAGAGAAGCGTTCCCAGCACTGAGCCCTGAGGCACTCCAGTAGCTAGATGATAACAGTGATGGGAGAAACCATGTTTCTGAGTGACAGATCCTAGTGATGACATGTAGATGATGAAGAGAAGCGGTCCCAGCACTGAGCCCTGAGGCACTCCAGTAGCTAGATGATAACAGTGATGGGAGAAACCATGTTTCTGAGTGACAGATCCTAGTGATGCCATGTAGATGGAGAAGAGAAGCGGTCCCAGCACTGAGCCCTGAGGCACTCCAGTAGCTAGATGATAACAGTGATGGGAGAAACCATGTTTCTGAATGACAGACACTAGTGATGACATGTAGATGGAGAAGAGAAGCGGTCCCAGCACTGAGCCCTGAGGCACTCCAGTAGCTAGATGATAACAGTGATGGGATAAACCATGTTTCTGAATGACAGACACTAGTGATGACATGTAGATGGAGAAGAGAAGCGGTCCCAGCACTGAGCCCTGAGGCACTCCAGTAGCTAGATGATAACAGTGATGGGAGAAACCATGTTTCTGAGTGACAGATCCTAGTGATGCCATGTAGATGGAGAAGAGAAGCGGTCCCAGCACTGAGCCCTGAGGCACTCCAGTAGCTAGATGATAACAGTGATGGGATAAACCATGTTTCTGAATGACAGATCCTAGTGATGCCATGTAGATGGAGAAGAGAAGCGGTCCCAGCACTGAGCCCTGAGGCACTCCAGTAGCTAGATGATAACAGTGATGGTATAAACCACGTTTCTGAATGACAGATCCTAGTGATGCCATGTAGATGGAGAAGAGAAGCGGTCCCAGCACTGAGCCCTGAGGCACTCCAGTAGCTAGATGAAAACAGTGATGGGATAAACCATGTTTCTGAATGACAGATCCTAGTGATGACATATAGATGGAGAAGAGAAGCGGTCCCAGCACTGAGCCCTGAGGCACTCCAGTAGCTAGATGACCGAGAGCAGGGGCGTCTCAGTTGAGTGACGCTTCTGAAACCAGACTAGAGGTTGTTCTTCATAAGAAAAGCAGAGATCTGGTTGAAAACAAGTCATTCAAGTGTTTTTGTGAAGAAGGGACACACACTCACACTCTTTCTCACACACACACACACACACACACACACACACACACACACACACACACACAAGTTCATTGAGCAGTGCAGGTTGTCACACGTCCAGCATGAAGTGTTTCGGCTCAGTGTTTCTTCTTCTTCTTCTTCTTCTTCTTCTTCTTCAGGTCGTTGGGAACAAGATGACGTCCCTGAATCTGGCCACAATCTTCGGGCCGAACCTCCTTCACCAGCAGAAGATCTCAGAGAAGGAGTTCAGTGTCCAGAGCTCGGCCCGAGTGGAGGACAGCGCCGCCATCATCAGCGTCGTGCAGCGCATGATCGACACACACCACACACTCTTCATGGTAGGAGAACAACATGATCGACACACACCACACATTCTTCATGGTAGGAGAACAACATGATCGACACACACCACACACTCTTCATGGTAGGAGAACAACATGATCGACACACACCACACACTCTTCATGGTAGGAGAACAACATGATCGACACACACCACACACTCTTCATGGTAGGAGAACAACATGATCGACACACACCACACACTCTTCATGGTAGGAGAACAACATGATCGACACACACCACACACTCTTCATGGTAGGAGAACAACATGATCGACACACACCACACACTCTTCATGGTAGGAGAACATATCTCTAATGATGATGCTCACCCAAAGAAAATACAACCGTGAATATAAATCTTGACTGTTATCCCTATTGGTTGTGGCAGTTTTATGAAAGTGCGCGAGTTGTAGTTTATGTCCGCTGAAACGCTCTGTTTTCCCAACACAGTCCCTGGGAAGGCCATTGAAGTGTAAAAGTTTAGGAATCGTACACTGGTTCACTAAATTTATCATTTTAATTAAATATTTTATATCATATTAATAAACAAAAAATTACATATTAACAATTTTATAATGTATTTTATTACACATTTATTTATATTTTTAAATAAATATGGTGCACTATCTGTTCATTTTAATACATATTTAATATAATATTTAATTAAATAATTTATTTATATATATATATCTGACCCTCAACCATTTTTTGCTGTTCTGTTTTTAGGATTTCTATATTATCTTCACAGTGAAGTAAGTGAAGTTCAAAGGTTAGCCTGGTTAGTCTGGTCTAGTTAGCCCCTGCTGGCAGATGTCGTAACTACACCGTTATCTGTGCTAAAGCGTCTTTCTCCAGTAGTGAAGGGTGTTCGTATTACTGTTGAGGATTATATATATACTCTTATAGTGTTTATTTAAATTTTCAAATAGCATTTGTTTTTATATGTTAAAGTTTTACTCACTTTGTTATGTGCTTTTGTAACTTTTATTGTTTTTTTTTTTTTATATTTATATTTAATACATTTTAATTTGATTTAATTTTAATGTTTTTTTTTTAGTTTGTTTTAGCAATATTGTTGTGCCTTTGTACTATTTATTAGTTTTTTTATTTATATTTAGCTTTAATTCATTTTATTTTAATTTAATTAAATTTTTTATTTTCGCTTTTGTCATTTTGTTATGTGCTTTTATTAGTTATTTTTATTTAGCTTTAATTTATTTTATTTTAAGTTTTAGTAATTTTTATATTTAGCTTTAATATATGTAATTTTAATTTAATTTAATTTTAAAGGCAACAGTTTTTTAAAGTTCATCTTATATTTATATTTATTTTATTTCTGCTTTATTTCAAATAGCAAAAACTATTTTTAAAAAGTTTTACTTTAAGTTAACAATAGCACTGACCAGAACGAGACGTTTTTACAGCTTCGTTTCATAAATGCTCTTTTTTTCCACTCTGGAAAAAGTTTTAAGTTCTGAAAGTTACTTTTATCTCCGATGATGAATGAAAAAAAGTCACTTCAGGTGAGATTATTGTGATCTTTAGCCAGCTGTGCATCAGACTGTGTCTCTTAATATGTTATAAATGCGGAAGAATGTTTAACCGGAGTCCTTGTACACCGTTCGCCAGCCGGCCGTGCATGAAGCTTCTCAGTGATGCTTGCAGTGGTTGATGATGTTGCATTGACTCCTCTAGATCTCTGCGGAGCTGCAGAACGAGGTTCTGGTGAGTTTGTTGGACACTGACAGTGATGTGGTGGATTATCTGATGAGGAGGAAAACACCACAGTGTGAGTAAGTGGATTTGGGTCATAAACACCATGTTCTCCCTGACGAGAATCAACACTATTGCCAATATTGACTAATCATCTGATCGTGGTTATTCAATCTAATCAGTTGTGCAGTTTAAATTTAATTTGCCATCTAGATAAGGGAAATTAAATTTATATTATATGATATTATTACTAGGGATGCACGACATATCGGCCACCGAATCTGTATCGGCCGATATATGTTGATTTTTGAAAATTTGGCTGATATATTAAAGCTGATAATTAATGTATTATTTCCTTCAGCTGAGACTCTTCAGATGCGCACTGTTCATCATGATGGGTTTAAATTGCTTGAAGTATGCTTGTAATCACTTAAAAAATGTAAAATACAGCGCAAGTCTGTCATATCGGCTACATAAAATGAACATAAAATGAATTATAGAACATTATAATTGTGTGTTTGGGACGTGGCTTTTAATGATGAGACTTTTGTTTTTGTAATCAGGCTCTCAAAAATTGTATAAAAATTTTGATTTAGATTTATCGGGTAATATATCGGTTATCGGCTTTCAAATATAAAGAATTATCGATATTATATTATATTATATTATATTATAAGAGCATTAAATGTAAATCAAATGGACCTGTTTTATTTTATTAATATATTATATACGATTCCAAGTAAAAAATAATGTATTAGGCTGACACTGACATTAACAAAACAGAAATCTCTAATCGCAATTATTAGTTTGACAGTTACTCGTCAGCACGTTTATTTACAGCTATAAAAGTCCTTCAGCGGAAGAACATCTCATATCAGACGCACAATAAACACCGCTTAACACGCAACGGTTAACAGTAGTTAATGCACTGTGAACACCCAATGCATTTTATTTAACTAACATTAACTAAGACAAATGCTGTAAATACAGGCAACATTTGAAGTGGATCAAAGAAGTTCATCAATGTTCAAAACTCATGTATAACTTTGATGAAAGGGTTTGATCTGACCAAGTCTTGCCTACTGTAGATTGCTTATGGTTAGTTGATGTTAGCTCAAATAATGTATTCGTACGCTCATACTTTCCCTGTGCATCCACTCACTCCTGCAGCGAGTCCCGGCGCTCCAGCGGCGAGATCTCTCCGTACGAGAACAACTCTCCGGTGCTCTCCCAGTGGCTTCATCCCTCGGGACCAGAGCATCCCAGTCTCGCTCTCGCTGGGAGCGGCACAGTGAATCCGTCCTCACGGCCCGACTCTGGTGAGCTTATCCAAACCCTATTAACAAAGATTGCATCATTTTATAGTTAAATGGTCCTGGGATCAAAAATAGCAGTTTTGAGGAAAGGCATCAAATTACTGATTTAAAGCTGGAGTTCACTTCAGAACTAAAATTTCCGAAATGAAGGTTTTTGAGGAACACACTCCAGGGTTTCTCCATATAGTGTCTTCAATGGGGTCCAACGGGCCGAAGGTCCAGATGTGAGTTTCAGTGCAGCTTCAAAGTCTCGACACGATCCAGCCGAGGAATAAGAGTTTAGTTTAGTTTATTAAGATCCCCATTAGCTACTGCAAAAGCAGTAGCTATTCTTCCTGGGGTCTATAGACTTCAACAACAAAAAAAAATATTCGTATAACATAAAACCGTACATTATATAGACAAAAATGGAGTGTACACATTCTTACATAACCATACAACAACGTACTAAAAGAAAAAACAATAAAACAACAAAAACGACAGCTCTACAATATGCATTATCACAATTCAAATGTAAATAAATAAAGTCTTAATCTTTTACGAAAATTCATAGCATTCATTCCCAAAATCAAAAACTGCGGAAGAGAATTCCATGCCACCATTGCTCTATACAGCACCGTCCTTTGTATAAGGTTAGTTCGACACGAAGGTAACAAAAAGCGACTCTCTGTTGACTGACGAGTGGAATATTGATGCACAGCACTAAAAAAAGACAGTCTGCTGTATAATACTTCTGGCATTTTTGTAACAATAATTTTTCTAACAAAATTAACAATACAATAATTAATCCTACTTTTTACACTTAACCAAACTAACCTAGTATTCAAGTCTCTAACACTAGTCCTAAAAGGGCAATTTAAAACTACCCGAGCTGCTTTATTTTGAGCAACTTGCAATTTTCTTAAGTTCATTTCAGTTGTACTTGACCAAATAATTGAACAATAATCCAAATGTGATAGAACTAAGGATTCTACTAATATTTTCATCACTCGATTTGGAATAAATTTTCTACAATGCTTAACAACTGCCAGACTCCTGCCCATTTTCAATAATATTTGATTTATATGACTATTCCAATTTAACAAATTATCAACAATCACACCGAGTAGCTTTGCCTCCGTAACCTGTTCTATCACAATACCCCCCACAGTCAGACTCAACACAAGCGGATCTTTTAACAAATACTTGGATCCCAGCACCATACATTTACTTTTCTCTGCATTAATCACCATATTATTGTCCCTAATCCAATTTTCAATTAGTTTCAGTTCAACTTGTAAAACTTTGTTAAGTTCAACAAGGGTTTGCGCGGACGTGTAAATTGTAGAATCATCTGCATATAGGGCCATGGTGGAATTCTCTAAAACAAAAGGCAGATCATTCGTAAAGATAGAAAACAAAAGCGGCCCAAGGCAACTCCCTTGTGGCACACCACAATCGAGAGTCTGTATATCAGAATTACTCCCATTAAATGTTACAATAAACTCCCTATTGGCAAGATAACTTTTAATCCATTCAATAGCAGATGTTTCAAAACCATAACAGATTAACTTTTCCAACAAAATTTCATGATCAAGTACATCAAAAGCAGAGTCTGATCTAGACAAACCAGCCGACATTTATAACAAAATACACATTTATATACTTTTAAACCACTAATGCTGGTCTTGCTCTAGCTGTGATGCGACACACATTACGTACATTATCAGGGTGAAAGGTCAAAAAGTTCAAAACTTTAAACTTCAAAATCGTCCGACATCGTTGTTTTACCTTTTATTTATTTATTTATTGTAAATGGCGTTTGACTTAGTCTTTGCACGTTCTCTTTGTAAACACTAGATCTGTTCTTACGCCTACGTCCCGCTTGACCTTTCACCCTGATCTCGTAACGTGTGTCGCATCACAGCTAGAGCAAGACCAGCATTAGTGGTTAAAAGTATATAAATGTGTATTTTGTTATAAATGTCCACTGGTTTGTCTAGATCAGACTCTTATTCCTCGGCTGGATCGTGTCGAGACTTTGAAGCTGCACTGAAACTCACATCTGGACCTTCGACCCGTTGGACCCCATTGAAGTCACTATATGGAGAAACCCTGGAATGTGTTCCTCAAAAACTTGATTCAAAGGGAAAATAGTTTTCTGACACTATTAGCATATTTTTATACTTGTTTTAAGCACAAACTTAATATCTTCAGTCATTGTTCTTCTCCAGTAAATGTGTCTTGATTTAAGAATCTTTATATATTTGTGCTGGAAAACAAGACAGAAACACTGAGGAAGAAGATTTTTTTTCAAGTGTTCTACTCCATGCATGCCTTATAAATTTGGTTAAATTAATCAACATAATCACAGTCATACCAAACGTCACACTTTATTTTTCTTTCTCATTTTATGCGTGTCAGTAATGAACACACTCTTGTCCTCAGGGGAAACGCTGCATGAAAAGCCCAGTATCTGGCGAACGCGACACACTCTTCTGTCAGGACTTCATGACAAACTCCTCACAGGTACAAGACAAAACACACGTCACTTATAGGAACATTAGTGTTTAGACTCAACAGATGGACATAATAAAGCTGCTCTTTAGTCATTTTTAAAGTCGTCATGAAAGGGAAGTTGCGCTGGTCTTTTCTCCTCTATTGTGTCCGAGTGAAACGCTTCTGGAGCAGGAACACATGTGGGCGGGGCGTGATTGTGTCTGTGAGGAATTGATTGGCTGGTTGTGGTTTGCTATTGGCTGATCTCATGTGAGTGACAGGTTAAAGCCCCGCCCACATCATGAGAGAAGAGACACAGTTTAAGATATTTTAGATTTAGTCCGAGAGCTTTCTGTCCCTCCATTGTAAATGTGTGTACGGTATACTGTCCTTGTCCAGAAAGGGAATAAAGACATCATCAAAGTAGTCCATGTGACATCAGTGGGTTAGTTAGAGTGTGTTGAAGCATCGAAAATACATTTTGGTCCAAAAATAACACAAACTAGGACTTTATTCAGCATTGTATTGTGTTCTGGTTCTGTTGTGGATCCGCGTTCAGTGCCGCTGCTGACGTAAGACGCTGCTGACGTGTGTCTGGTGCGCCCGAGCTTCGTTTACAGTCTGAGGGAGACGCACGCTGGAAACTAAACAATCTTCGCAAACATGTCTAAGGATTTCCACATAGAGGAAGACTTGCATTTTTTTGGCCAGCCATATTTATTTGAACCCGAATACACGGACGCACCAGACACACGTCAGCAGCGTCTTACGTCAGCGGCGGCACTGAACGCGGATCCACAACAGAACCCGAATACACGGACACACCAGACACACGTCAGCGGCGGCACTGAACGCGGATCCACAACAGAACCGGAACACACACACACACACACACACACACACACACACACACCAGACACACGTCAGACCAAAATGTATTTTCGATGCTTCAACACACTCTAACTAACCCACTGATGTCACATGGACTACTTTGATGATGTCTTTATTCCCTTTCTGGACAAGGACAGTATACCGTACACACATTTACAATGGAGGGACAGAAAGCTCTCGGACTAAATCTAAAATATCTTAAACTGTGTCCCGAAGATGAACGGAGGTCTGACGGGCTTGGAACGACATGAGGGAGAGGCATTAATGACATCATTTTCATTTTTGGGTGAACTAACCCTTTAAGTCATTCCCTTTGCTGAGGGGAACTCAGGCCTTAAGTCCCATCCTGAGGAGAAGACCTTAAGTGTGGATCAGTGGCTGTTGTTCACCTCAGCACACCTGTGTTTGTGTACCTCAGCACACCTGTGTTTGTGTACCTCAGCACACCTGTGTTTGTGTACCTCAGCACACCTGTGTTTGTGTACCCCAGCACACCTGTGTTTGTGTACCCCAGCACACCTGTGTTTGTGTACCTCAGCACACCTGTGTTTGTGTACCACAGCACACCTGTGTTTGTGTACCCCAGCACACCTGTGTTTGTGTACCCCAGCACACCTGTGTTTGTGTACCCCAGCACACCTGTGTTTGTGTACCTCAGCACACCTGTGTTTGTGTACCCCAGCACACCTGTGTTTGTGTACCCCAGCACACCTGTGTTTGTGTACCTCAGCACACCTGTGTTTGTGTACCTCAGCACACCTGTGTTTGTGTACCTCAGCACACCTGTGTTTGTGTACCTCAGCACACCTGTGTTTGTGTACCTCAGCACACCTGTGTTTGTGTACCTCAGCACACCTGTGTTTGTGTACCTCAGCACACCTGTGTTTGTGTACCTCAGCACACCTGTGTTTGTGTACCCCAGCACACCTGTGTTTGTGTACCCCAGCACACCTGTGTTTGTGTGCCTCAGCACACCTGTGTTTGTGTACCCCAGCACACCTGTGTTTGTGTACCCCAGCACACCTGTGTTTGTGTACCTCAGCACACCTGTGTTTGTGTACCCCAGCACACCTGTGTTTGTGTACCCCAGCGCATCTGTGTTTGTGTACCCCAGCACACCTGTGTTTGTGTACCTCAGCACACCTGTGTTTGTGTACCTCAGCACACCTGTGTTTGTGTACCTCAGCACACCTGTGTTTGTGTACCTCAGCACACCTGTGTTTGTGTACCCCAGCACACCTGTGTTTGTGTACCTCAGCCCACCTGTGTTTGTGTACCTCAGCACACCTGTGTTTGTGTACCTCAGCACACCTGTGTTTGTGTACCTCAGCACACCTGTGTTTGTGTACCTCAGCACACCTGTGTTTGTGTACCTCAGCACACCTGTGTTTGTGTACCCCAGCACACCTGTGTTTGTGTACCTCAGCACACCTGTGTTTGTGTACCTCAGCACACCTGTGTTTGTGTACCTCAGCACACCTGTGTTTGTGTACCTCAGCACAACTGTGTTTGTGTACCTCAGCACACCTGTGTTTGTGTACCTCAGCACACCTGTGTTTGTGTACCCCAGCACACCTGTGTTTGTGTACCTCAGCCCACCTGTGTTTGTGTACCTCAGCACACCTGTGTTTGTGTACCTCAGCACACCTGTGTTTGTGTACCTCAGCACACCTGTGTTTGTGTACCCCAGCACACCTGTGTTTGTGTACCCCAGCACACCTGTGTTTGTGTACCTCAGCACACCTGTGTTTGTGTACCTCAGCACACCTGTGTTTGTGTACCTCAGCACACCTGTGTTTGTGTACCTCAGCACACCTGTGTTTGTGTACCTCAGCACACCTGTGTTTGTGTACCGCAGCACACCTGTGTTTGTGTACCTCAGCACACCTGTGTTTGTGTACCTCAGCACACTTGTGTTTGTGTACCCCAGCACACCTGTGTTTGTGTACCTCAGCACACCTGTGTTTGTGTACCTCAGCACACCTGTGTTTGTGTACCCCAGCACACCTGTGTTTGTGTACCCCAGCACACCTGTGTTTGTGTACCTCAGCACACCTGTGTTTGTGTGCCTCAGCACACCTGTGTTTGTGTACCCCAGCACACCTGTGTTTGTGTACCCCAGCACACCTGTGTTTGTGTACCTCAGCACACCTGTGTTTGTGTACCTCAGCACACCTGTGTTTGTGTACCCCAGCACACCTGTGTTTGTGTACCCCAGCACACCTGTGTTTGTGTACCTCAGCACACCTGTGTTTGTGTACCTCAGCACACCTGTGTTTGTGTACCTCAGCACACCTGTGTTTGTGTACCCCAGCACACCTGTGTTTGTGTACCTCAGCACACCTGTGTTTGTGTACCCCAGCACACCTGTGTTTGTGTACCCCAGCACACCTGTGTTTGTGTACCTCAGCACACCTGTGTTTGTGTACCCCAGCACACCTGTGTTTGTGTACCCCAGCACACCTGTGTTTGTGTACCTCAGCACACCTGTGTTTGTGTACCTCAGCACACCTGTGTTTGTGTACCTCAGCACACCTGTGTTTGTGTGCCTCAGCACACCTGTGTTTGTGTACCCCAGCACACCTGTGTTTGTGTACCCCAGCACACCTGTGTTTGTGTACCTCAGCACACCTGTGTTTGTGTACCTCAGCACACCTGTGTTTGTGTACCTCAGCACACCTGTGTTTGTGTACCTCAGCACACCTGTGTTTGTGTACCTCAGCACACCTGTGTTTGTGTACCTCAGCACACCTGTGTTTGTGTACCCCAGCACACCTGTGTTTGTGTACCTCAGCACACCTGTGTTTGTGTACCCCAGCACACCTGTGTTTGTGTACCTCAGCACACCTGTGTTTGTGTACCTCAGCACACCTGTGTTTGTGTACCTCAGCACACCTGTGTTTGTGTACCCCTGCACACCTGTGTTTGTGTACCCCAGCACACCTGTGTTTGTGTACCTCAGCACACCTGTGTTTGTGTACCCCAGCACACCTGTGTTTGTGTACCTCAGCACACCTGTGTTTGTGTACCTCAGCACACTTGTGTTTGTGTACCCCAGCACACCTGTGTTTGTGTACCTCAGCACACTTGTGTTTGTGTACCCCAGCACACCTGTGTTTGCGTGCCTCAGCACACCTGTGTTTGTGTACCCCAGCACACCTGTGTTTGTGTACCTCAGCACACCTGTGTTTGTGTACCTCAGCACACCTGTGTTTGTGTACCCCAGCACACCTGTGTTTGTGTACCTCAGCACACCTGTGTTTGTGTGCCTCAGCACACCTGTGTTTGTGTACCCCAGCACACCTGTGTTTGTGTACCCCAGCACACCTGTGTTTGTGTACCTCAGCACACCTGTGTTTGTGTGCCTCAGCACACCTGTGTTTGTGTACCCCAGCACACCTGTGTTTGTGTACCTCAGCACACCTGTGTTTGTGTACCCCAGCACACCTGTGTTTGTGTACCTCAGCACACCTGTGTTTGTGTACCTCAGCACACCTGTGTTTGTGTACCTCAGCACACTTGTGTTTGTGTCCCCCAGCATACCTGAGCACACTTGTGTTTGTGTACCCCAGCACACCTGTGTTTGTGTACCCCTGCACACCTGTGTTTGTGTACCCCAGAACACCTGTGTTTGTGTACCTCAGCACACCTGTGTTTGTGTACCTCAGCACACCTGTGTTTGTGTACCTCAACACACCTGTGTTTGTGTACCTCAGCACACCTGTGTTTGTGTACCTCAGCACACCTGTGTTTGTGTACCCCAGCACACTTGTGTTTGTGTACCTCAGCACACTTGTGTTTGTGTACCCCAGCACACCTGTGTTTGTGTACCTCAGCACACCTGTGTTTGTGTACCTCAGCACACCTGTGTTTGTGTACCTCAACACACCTGTGTTTGTGTACCTCAGCACACCTGTGTTTGTGTACCTCAGCACACCTGTGTTTGTGTACCTCAGCACACCTGTGTTTGTGTACCTCAGCACACCTGTGTTTGTGTACCTCAGCACACTTGTGTTTGTGTACCCCAGCACACCTGTGTTTGTGTACCTCAGCACACCTGTGTTTGTGTACCCCTGCACACCTGTGTTTGTGTACCTCAGCACACCTGTGTTTGTGTGCCTCAGCCCACCTGTGTTTGTGTACCTCAGCCCACCTGTGTTTGTGTACCTCAGCCCACCTGTGTTTGTGTGCCTCAGCACACCTGTGTTTGTGTACCCCTGCACACCTGTGTTTGTGTACCCCAGCACACCTGTGTTTGTGTACCTCAGCACACCTGTGTTTGTGTACCCCAGCACACCTGTGTTTGTGTACCTCAGCACACCTGTGTTTGTGTACCTCAGCACACTTGTGTTTGTGTACCCCAGCACACTTGTGTTTGTGTACCCCTGCACACCTGTGTTTGTGTACCTCAGCACACTTGTGTTTGTGTACCCCTGCACACCTGTGTTTGTGTACCCCAGCACACCTGTGTTTGTGTACCTCAGCACACCTGTGTTTGTGTACCTCAGCACACCTGTGTTTGTGTACCTCAGCACACCTGTGTTTGTGTACCCCAGCACACCTGTGTTTGTGTACCCCAGCACACCTGTGTTTGTGTACCTCAGCACACCTGTGTTTGTGTGCCTCAGCACACCTGTGTTTGTGTACCCCAGCACACCTGTGTTTGTGTACCCCAGCACACCTGTGTTTGTGTACCTCAGCACACCTGTGTTTGTGTACCTCAGCACACCTGTGTTTGTGTACCCCAGCACACCTGTGTTTGTGTACCCCAGCACACCTGTGTTTGTGTACCTCAGCACACCTGTGTTTGTGTACCTCAGCACACCTGTGTTTGTGTACCTCAGCACACCTGTGTTTGTGTACCTCAGCACACCTGTGTTTGTGTACCCCAGCACACCTGTGTTTGTGTACCTCAGCACACCTGTGTTTGTGTACCCCAGCACACCTGTGTTTGTGTACCCCAGCACACCTGTGTTTGTGTACCTCAGCACACCTGTGTTTGTGTACCTCAGCACACCTGTGTTTGTGTGCCTCAGCACACCTGTGTTTGTGTACCCCAGCACACCTGTGTTTGTGTACCTCAGCACACCTGTGTTTGTGTACCTCAGCACACTTGTGTTTGTGTACCCCAGCACACCTGTGTTTGTGTACCCCAGCACACTTGTGTTTGTGTACCTCAGCACACCTGTGTTTGTGTACCCCAGCACACCTGTGTTTGTGTACCCCAGCACACCTGTGTTTGTGTACCCCAGCACACCTGTGTTTGTGTACCTCAGCACACCTGTGTTTGTGTACCTCAGCACACCTGTGTTTGTGTACCTCAGCACACCTGTGTTTGTGTACCTCAGCACACCTGTGTTTGTGTGCCTCAGCACACCTGTGTTTGTGTACCTCAGCACACCTGTGTTTGTGTACCTCAGCACACTTGTGTTTGTGTACCCCAGCACACCTGTGTTTGTGTACCTCAGCACACCTGTGTTTGTGTACCTCAGCACACCTGTGTTTGTGTACCTCAGCACACCTGTGTTTGTGTACCTCAGCACACCTGTGTTTGTGTACCTCAGCACACCTGTGTTTGTGTACCTCAGCACACCTGTGTTTGTGTACCTCAGCACACCTGTGTTTGTGTACCCCAGCACACCTGTGTTTGTGTACCTCAGCACACCTGTGTTTGTGTACCCCAGCACACCTGTGTTTGTGTACCTCAGCACACCCGTGTTTGTGTACCTCAGCACACCTGTGTTTGTGTACCTCAGCACACCTGTGTTTGTGTACCCCTGCACACCTGTGTTTGTGTACCCCAGCACACCTGTGTTTGTGTACCTCAGCACACCTGTGTTTGTGTACCCCAGCACACCTGTGTTTGTGTACCTCAGCACACCTGTGTTTGTGTACCCCAGCACACCTGTGTTTGTGTACCTCAGCACACTTGTGTTTGTGTACCCCAGCACACCTGTGTTTGTGTGCCTCAGCACACCTGTGTTTGTGTACCCCAGCACACCTGTGTTTGTGTACCTCAGCACACCTGTGTTTGTGTGCCTCAGCACACCTGTGTTTGTGTACCCCAGCACACCTGTGTTTGTGTACCTCAGCACACCTGTGTTTGTGTGCCTCAGCACACCTGTGTTTGTGTACCCCAGCACACCTGTGTTTGTGTACCTCAGCACACCTGTGTTTGTGTGCCTCAGCATACCTGTGTTTGTGTACCCCAGCACACCTGTGTTTGTGTACCTCAGCACACCTGTGTTTATGTACCTCAGCACACCTGTGTTTGTGTACCCCAGCACACCTGTGTTTGTGTGCCTCAGCACACCTGTGTTTATGTACCTCAGCACACCTGTGTTTGTGTACCCCAGCACACCTGTGTTTGTGTACCTCAGCACACCTGTGTTTGTGTACCTCAGCACACCTGTGTTTGTGTACCTCAGCACACCTGTGTTTGTGTACCTCAGCACACCTGTGTTTGTGTACCCCAGCACACCTGTGTTTGTGTACCCCAGCACACCTGTGTTTGTGTACCTCAGCACACCTGTGTTTATGTACCTCAGCACACCTGTGTTTGTGTACCCCAGCACACCTGTGTTTGTGTGCCTCAGCACACCTGTGTTTGTGTACCCCAGCACACCTGTGTTTGTGTACCTCAGCACACCTGTGTTTGTGTACTTCAGCACACCTGTGTTTGTGTACCTCAGCACACCTGTGTTTGTGTACCCCAGCACACCTGTGTTTGTGTACCTCAGCACACCTGTGTTTGTGTGCCTCAGCACACCTGTGTTTGTGTACCCCAGCACACCTGTGTTTGTGTACCTCAGCACACCTGTGTTTGTGTACCTCAGCACACCTGTGTTTATGTACCTCAGCACACCTGTGTTTGTGTACCCCAGCACACCTGTGTTTGTGTGCCTCAGCACACCTGTGTTTGTGTACCCCAGCACACCTGTGTTTGTGTACATCAGCACACCTGTGTTTGTGTACTTCAGCACACCTGTGTTTGTGTACCTCAGCACACCTGTGTTTGTGTACCCCAGCACACCTGTGTTTGTGTACCTCAGCACACCTGTGTTTGTGTGCCTCAGCACACCTGTGTTTGTGTACCTCAGCACACCTGTGTTTGTGTACCTCAGCACACCTGTGTTTGTGTACCCCAGCACACCTGTGTTTGTGTACCTCAGCACACCTGTGTTTGTGTACCCCAGCACACCTGTGTTTGTGTACCCCAGCACACCTGTGTTTGTGTACCTCAGCACACCTGTGTTTGTGTACTTCAGCACACCTGTGTTTGTGTACCTCAGCACACCTGTGTTTGTGTACCCCAGCACACCTGTGTTTGTGTACCTCAGCACACCTGTGTTTGTGTACTTCAGCACACCTGTGTTTGTGTACCTCAGCACACCTGTGTTTGTGTACCTCAGCACACTTGTGTTTGTGTCCCCCAGCACACCTGTGTTTGTGTACCTCAGCACACTTGTGTTTGTGTACCCCAGCATACCTGAGCACACTTGTGTTTGTGTACTTCAGCACACCTGTGTTTGTGTACCTCAGCACACCTGTGTTTGTGTACCCCAGCATACCTGAGCACACTTGTGTTTGTGTACTTCAGCACACCTGTGTTTGTGTACCTCAGCACACCTGTGTTTGTGTACCCCAGCATACCTGAGCACACCTGTGTTTGTGTACTTCAGCACACCTGTGTTTGTGTACCTCAGCACACCTGTGTTTGTGTACCTCAGCACACTTGTGTTTGTGTACCCCAGCACACCTGTGTTTGTGTACCTCAGCACACTTGTGTTTGTGTACCTCAGCACACTTGTGTTTGTGTACCCCAGCATACCTGAGCACACTTGTGTTTGTGTACCTCAGCACACCTGTGTTTGTGTACCTCAGCACACTTGTGTTTGTGTACCTCAGCACACTTGTGTTTGTGTCCCCCAGCATACCTGAGCACACTTGTGTTTGTGTACCCCTGCACACCTGTGTTTGTGTACCCCAGCACACCTGTGTTTGTGTACCTCAGCACACCTGTGTTTGTGTACCTCAGCACACCTGTGTTTGTGTACCTCAGCACACCTGTGTTTGTGTACCTCAACACTCCTGTGTTTGTGTACCTCAGCACACCTGTGTTTGTGTACCTCAGCACACCTGTGTTTGTGTACCTCAGCACACCTGTGTTTGTGTACCCCAGCACACCTGTGTTTGTGTACCCCAGCACACCTGTGTTTGTGTACCTCAGCACACCTGTGTTTGTGTACCTCAGCACACCTGTGTTTGTGTACCTCAGCACACCTGTGTTTGTGTACCTCAGCACACCTGTGTTTGTGTACCTCAGCACACCTGTGTTTGTGTACCTCAGCACACCTGTGTTTGTGTACCTCAGCACACCTGTGTTTGTGTACTTCAGCACACCTGTGTTTGTGTACCTCAGCACACCTGTGTTTGTGTACCTCAGCACACCTGTGTTTGTGTACCTCAGCACACCTGTGTTTGTGTACCTCAGCACACCTGTGTTTGTGTACCTCAGCACACCTGTGTTTGTGTACCTCAGCACACCTGTGTTTGTGTACCCCAGCACACCTGTGTTTGTGTACCTCAGCACACCTGTGTTTGTGTACCTCAGCACACCTGTGTTTGTGTACCTCAGCACACCTGTGTTTGTGTACTTCAGCACACCTGTGTTTGTGTACCTCAGCACACCTGTGTTTGTGTACCTCAGACACCTGTGTTTGTGTACCTCAGCACACCTGTGTTTGTGTACCTCAGCACACCTGTGTTTGTGTACCTCAGCACACCTGTGTTTGTGTACCTCAGCACACCTGTGTTTGTGTACCCCAGCACACCTGTGTTTGTGTACCTCAGCACACCTGTGTTTGTGTACCTCAGCACACCTGTGTTTGTGTACCTCAGCACACCTGTGTTTGTGTACCTCAGCACACCTGTGTTTGTGTACCTCAGCACACCTGTGTTTGTGTACCTCAGCACACCTGTGTTTGTGTACCTCAGCACACCTGTGTTTGTGTACCCCAGGTTCAGATGGACACCTGTATGAGCGCGTCTCCTCTGATGTCTTCTACGACGACGACAGCGACGCCAAACCTGTGCCTGAGACGCAAACGTCCCGTTCAAACGCCCCTCCAATCACAGCGAGCCCTCGGACTGCCTTCCACCAATCAGAGGAGGCCACGGCGTGTCATGCGGGCCAGGGGGCGGAGTCACGCATCACTCAGCATCCAGACTGGCCAATGGAGAAGTGGCAAATATGGCAGCTCTTGTCATCGGACAGCTTAGACACACTTCCAGAGACAATGGTGTAAAAACAGTATTTAAAGGGACAGTATTTAAAAATGACATCTAAACGTTAAATGGACAATAATAAAACACTGAGGCGGTTTTTCACTGAGAAGAAAGAAAGTCGTTCAGGTTTGGAACGAGTAAATGACAGATGATCATTGTTGGGTGGACTGTCCCTTTAAGCAGCTTTTCATTTAAAAGCTTGATTTTAAATCGTCCACAACAGAGATTCAGGATTGGTTCGACTGGAAGCGTCACAGTATTGCCACGTTTTAGATCACTTTAGAATAATAAGTATTGATATTAAAATTGGGGATTACTATTTAAAGGTTTTACTGTTCAAAACTTTTTTTTTTTTTTTACTAAATTAATACTCTTATTCATCAAAGATGCATTAAACTGATCAAAAGTGACAGTAAAGACATTTATAATGTTACAAAAGATTTTATTTCAAACAAATGCTGTTCTTTTGAACTTTCTATTCATCAAAGAATCCTGAGAAATGAAATATATCACGATTTCAACCGAAATATGAGCTGTTTTCAACACTGATAATAATCATAAATGTGTCTTGAGCATCAGATCCTCATATTAGAGTGATTTCTGAAGGATCATGTGACACTGAAGACTGGAGTAATGATGCTGAAAATTCAGCTTTGATCACAGGAATAAATTACACTTTACTGTATATTCACATAGAGAACAGATGATTTACATTATAATAATATCTCACAGTTTTACTGTATTTTTGATCGGATAAATCCATCTTTGGTGAGCAGAAGAGACTCAGAAATATTAACAAATTCCTATAGGTGTCATTAGAAATATTGATTATTAATGTGTTTCTGGGAATAATCCATATGTTGGGTGTATGAACATGTTTATTGGTAATTCATACTGAAAATGAAATGTATTATTAACATCTACTCTTACATGAATTGATTTCATTCAGTTTGAAGCTCAATTCAAATTCAGGACATAAAGTGGAATATAAAGCGCATTCTCGGTTCAGTTCTCGATGTGAATGATCTTTATTTCCATCCAGATGCTCTAATCTCTCGTTTATTGTACAGATCATCATCATCATCATCATCATCATCATCAGAGAGATCTGATGACATCATCACTTCACGAGATAACGAGCGGTTAATCATAGGGCTGCAAACATACAGAATTTCATATTTCGAGAAACGAGTTACAATATCAAATGTATTTATTTATTAATGTTATTTATTGAATTAGCCACTAGTATGTCACCACTGTGTATGATAGCCGCCACAGAAGGATTTATTGCAGTATCTAGTGAAACTCCATTACATGTCTGACTGATATCGTCAACTTTCACCCGTTTGATCACGTGACGCACGAATTATGCCTTAATCGAATCACCTCCTTTATTCCAGCAACACTTTATGCATTATAATAATGAGTGACTTATTATTTTCTGTGTAATATTTTATACTCTGTGTATTTGTACAGCCAAGAGCAATATAATGTTGATCATGCTACTTTTTATAAAACAGATTTATATATTTTGCTGCTCAATTATTTGATCTGAATATTAGAGAGCGAATAGAGGCTGTTATTGTGATGTTTGTGATTGTTGACATCATCATCTTCATAAGCATGTGTTTAAAACACAATAAAAGCAATGTCTGTCAAAGCATTTCTGTTCTTATTTGGATTTATTATCAAACGGATTTATTATTATCTAAATGAAGTGAGTTTGTGTGTAAAACGAGAACAAATATCAGCAAATGGAGTCAAAAATAATCCTTGAATTATGATTATTTTTCAGATTTTTGATTTGTTCTGGTTTTAAGCTCAAACTCACTTTATTTAGACACATTTTTCATTAAACAAAACTTCATTTCTTCAGTCGTTCTGCTTCTTCTCCAGTATATGTGTCTGTTATGTATATTTGTAAATGTATATTTCAGAATGTTTGTATATTAGTGCTGGAACCGGGACTGAGGAAGAGCATCGCTGTGGACGGGGATCGTGTGAGAGATGATTATACTGTAGTTCTGGGTTATTAATTCATCATATTTTATGTTCTGTATTATATGACCTCGGTTCACTCCTCATTTGCTCTGTTTATTCCACAGATGTTTGACACACACACGTGATCGCTGACATCATGTCCCATCAGGTGTTCGTGTCTGATTACTGTATTTAGTATTTAAAGAAACGGTTACACTGCAAAAAATGCTTTTCTTGCGTATTAGCCTCGTTTCCAGTCCAAATATCAAAACATTCGTAAATCAAGAAGCATTTACTAGAGAAGTAACATTATATTAGAAATTATATCTTGTTTCCTGGAAGAAAAAAATAAAGGTTTTTACTTAAAACAAGCAAAATGATCTTCCAGTGGGGCCAGAAAAATAATGTTAATTCAAATGGAAAACAAGATTATTTTTCTGACCCCTTTGGAAGATTTTGCTGGTTTTAAGCAGAAACTCACTTAATATCATTTAAAAATGTTTTACTTCTCTAGTAAATGCTTCTTGATTTAAGAGTTGTTTGATATTTGGACTGGAAACGAGACAGAAATACTGCGTAAGAAAAGCATTGTTTGCAGTGTGACACGTTTAATTAAAGACATGATCTTTGTTCTTGTTTGCTGTGAGTTTTTGATCCGCGTTACTCGAGATGAACACTAGAGGGAGACACAGCTCACACACATGAACACAGATAACTCTTCTTCTAGGGTTAAACTCTACATTATAACATGATAAAACCATAGATATCCATAATAAAGGCTAGATGTCTTCTCTATCGTCATCACCGGCGGCCATCTTGTCACAGGCAAGCGTTCTGGTGGGCTCTGTGGTGCCTGATGTAAGATGAGTGATCGGCACCAACACAAATACTCTTATCTCGTTGAAATCTTACAAACGGTTTGGTTTGTTACAAACGTTATTAACGTGGCTGTAATTCTGGATGATTATTTATTGATACACTTATTATTCATAAGTATGCAGTGTCATAACTACATCTCTGACGTTTATAACAAACCAAACCGTTTGAAAATCAGTAGAAAATTGAGTAAGTTATGGTTATTTAAACAGTACATGCACCATTAAAAACACAATGTTAGGAGTGAGCGAGCTGCCTGTGGCAAGATGGCCGCCAGTGCGGACGACGACCTCCATTGGCCAGCAGCGTGGACGAGACATCTAGGCTTTATCATGGAGATCTATGGATAAAACGAGCTGTGTTTAGATGTGCGGAGGCATTTACAATCTGCAAATGAAACATAATTTCAGTGTCCTTAAAAACTTAAAAGATCGAGCCATATTGCGGCCCAGGAGAGCGCTGGGAATGCAGTGGTGGGAGTGTGGGATTCTGGGATTCGGGAGCTCTCGGGTCTTTATCGGGATCAGAGGGAAAGACCCCAGAAATCATCATCCGACTCGAGTCGATCCAGACCGCTCATTCCCCAGGGGTTCTGTTCCTGTGAGATTACAAGTTCTGTTTGTATTTACAAATGTAACTGATGCTTGTAGAGTGTCACATGATCCTTCAGAAATCACTCTAATATGAGGATCTGATGCTCAACAAACACTTATGATTATTATCAGTGTTGGAAACAGTTGCACTACTAAACATTTATATTATTATTTATTAATAATATTATTATAAAATATGTCATATGGTGTCATTTTCTGGCATTTTTGTGATGTGAATGACATACACACACACTCTTACACACACACACATACACACACTCTCACTCACACACTCACTCTCACACACACACTCTCACACACACTCACACACACACTCTCACACACACTCACTCTCACACACACTCACTCTCACACACACACACACACACACACACACACACACTCACTCACTCACTCTCACACTCACTCACACACACACTCTCTCTTAGCTGTCCATCTTGTACGATGATGACGCTTGCTCCAGGGGGTGGGGGTGGGAGGGGGGTGGGTTTAGCGACCTTGCCGCTGGTGCCACTTCTCGTGGGCGTTGAGTCCGATCCTTGAGCCGCACACTCGTCCGCAGATGGAGCAAGGGAAACCAGACACCAGGGGGGTACCAGCCGCCCACTGGTGTCTCTTGATGCGCCTCTCGGATCGTCGGTCTTGGTTGGTTTGGTGTATTTGAGAGATTGCAGTTGCACAGGTGACATGCCAGGCAGGTCTGTCGAGTGCCAGTGATTCAAGCTCCGTGAGGGGAATGTTCGCTCTCTTTAGGATGTCCCTGGTGTAGTCCTTAAAGCGCCGCTTTTGCCCTCCAGCGGACCGCTTTGCGCCCATTAGTTGACTGTAGAGGACTTGGCGGGGCAATCGGTGTTCAGGCATGCGTATGGTGTGCCCTATCCAGCGCAGATGTTTTTTGGCAACAGCTGCTTCCATACAGATTGAGTCAGTGTTGCTGAGGATGACTGTATGGGGGATTCGGTCTTCCCAGGACAACCTGAGGATCTTCTGTAGGCAGCGAATGTGGAAGGCCTCTAGGTTGATGATGTGCTGGCGGTATGGGGTCCATGACTCTGCCCCGTAGAGCAGAGTAGAGACACATACCGCATTGTAAACAGCGACCTTGGTACTGACCTTCAGGTTACGGTTTTCAAAAACCCTGCTGCGTAGGCGTCCAAAAGATGATGAGGCTTTATTTATCCGGGTGTGTATTTCTTTGTCCAGGGAGCAGAATGAGGACAAAGTGGAGCCGAGGTAGGTAAAGTGGTCCACTGTTTTAAGTGGAACACCGTTTATGTGAAAACTGGGGGGTGTGGGGGCGGGGGTAGTGAGATGGGACATGACCTCGTTTTTTTTAATGTTGACCTGTAGGCCAAAGGATTGGTACAGACGGGATATTGTGTTAAGGGCGTGCTGCATAGAGTCTGGGCTGTGAGCTAAGACGGCACAGTCATCAGCATACTGAAGCTCACAGATTTGGCGGGTCTTTGTCTTTGTGCGGGCCTGGAGCCGACGTATGTTGAAGAGGCTTCCGTCAAGTCGGTATTCCACATGGACACCGTCTTCATGTC